GGTATAACTCATGGTCTAACTCATGGTATAACTCATGGTCTCAGGGTCTAACTCAGGGTCTAACTCAGGGTCTAACTCATGGTATAACTCATGGTCTAACTCATGGTCTAACTCATGGTATAACTCATGGTCTCAGGGTCTAACTCATGGTCTAACTCATGGTCTAACTCATGGTATAACTCATGGTCTAACTCATGGTCTAACTCAGGGTCTAACTCATGGTCTAACTCATGGTCTAACTCATGGTCTAACTCATGGTCTAACTCATGGTATAACTCATGGTCTAACTCATGGTCTAACTCATGGTCTAACTCATGGTCTAACTCATGGTCTAACTCATGGCCTAACTCATGGTCTAACTCATGGTCTAACTCATGGTCTAACTCAGTATAACTCATGGTCTAACTCAGGGTCTAACTCATGGTCTAACTCATGGTCTAACTCATGGTCTAACTCAGTATAACTCATGGTCTAACTCATGGTCTAACTCATGGTCTAACTCATGGTCTAACTCAGTATAACTCATGGTCTAACTCATGGTCTAACTCAGGGTCTAACTCAGGGTCTAACTCATGGTCTAACTCATGGTATAACTCAGGGTCTAACTCATGGTATAACTCATGGTCTAACTCATGGTCTAACTCATGGTATAACTCATGGTCTCAGGGTCTAACTCATGGTCTAACTCATGGTCTAACTCATGGTCTAACTCATGGTATAACTCAGGGTCTAACTCATGGTCTAACTCATGGTCTAACTCATGGTCTAACTCATGGTCTAACTCATGGTATAACTCATGGTCTAACTCATGGTCTAACTCATGGTATAACTCATGGTCTAACTCATGGTATAACTCATGGTATAACTCATGGTCTAACTCATGGCCTAACTCATGGTCTAACTCATGGTCTAACTCATGGTCTAACTCATGGTCTAACTCAGGGTCTAACTCATGGTATAACTCAGGGTCTAACTCATGGTCTAACTCATGGTCTAACTCATGGTCTCAGGGTCTAACTCATGGTCTAACTCATGGTCTAACTCATGGTATAACTCAGGGTCTAACTCATGGTCTAACTCATGGTCTAACTCATGGTATAACTCATGGTCTAACTCATGGTATAACTCATGGTATAACTCATGGTATAACTCATGGTCTAACTCATGGTCTAACTCATGGTCTAACTCATGGTCTAACTCATGGTCTAACTCAGGGTCTAACTCATGGTATAACTCAGGGTCTAACTCATGGTCTAACTCATGGTCTAACTCATGGTATAACTCAGGGTCTAACTCATGGTCTAACTCATGGTATAACTCAGGGTCTAACTCATGGTCTAACTCATGGTCTAACTCATGGTCTAACTCATGGTCTAACTCATGGTCTAACTCATGGTATAACTCATGGTATAACTCAGGGTCTAACTCATGGTCTAACTCATGGTCTAACTCATGGTATAACTCAGGGTCTAACTCATGGTCTAACTCATGGTCTAACTCATGGTATAACTCAGGGTCTAACTCATGGTCTAACTCATGGTCTAACTCATGGTCTAACTCATGGTCTAACTCATGGTCTCAGGGTCTAACTCATGGTATAACTCAGGGTCTAACTCATGGTATAACTCATGGTATAACTCATGGTCTAACTCATGGTATAACTCAGGGTCTAACTCATGGTCTAACTCATGGTCTAACTCATGGTATAACTCATGGTCTAACTCATGGTATAACTCATGGTATAACTCATGGTCTAACTCATGGTCTAACTCATGGTCTAACTCATGGTCTAACTCATGGTCTAACTCAGGGTCTAACTCATGGTATAACTCAGGGTCTAACTCATGGTCTAACTCATGGTCTAACTCATGGTATAACTCAGGGTCTAACTCATGGTCTAACTCATGGTATAACTCAGGGTCTAACTCATGGTCTAACTCATGGTCTAACTCATGGTCTAACTCATGGTCTAACTCATGGTCTAACTCATGGTAACTCATGGTATAACTCAGGTCTAACTCATGGTCTACTCATGGTCTAACTCATGGTATAACTCAGGGTCTAACTCATGGTCTAACTCATGGTCTAACTCATGGTATAACTCAGGGTCTAACTCATGGTCTAACTCATGGTCTAACTCATGGTCTAACTCATGGTCTAACTCATGGTCTCAGGGTCTAACTCATGGTATAACTCAGGGTCTAACTCATGGTATAACTCATGGTATAACTCATGGTCTAACTCATGGTCTAACTCATGGTCTAACTCATGGTCTAACTCATGGTATAACTCATGGTCTAACTCATGGTCTAACTCATGGTATAACTCAGGGTCTAACTCATGGTATAACTCATGGTCTAACTCATGGTCTAACTCATGGTCTAACTCAGGGTCTAACTCAGGGTCTAACTCATGGTCTAACTCATGGTCTAACTCATGGTCTCAGGGTCTAACTCAGGGTCTAACTCATGGTCTAACTCATGGTCTAACTCATGGTCTAACTCATGGTCTAACTCATGGTATAACTCATGGTCTAACTCATGGTCTAACTCATGGTATAACTCAGGGTCTAACTCAGGGTCTAACTCATGGTCTAACTCATGGTCTAACTCATGGTCTCAGGGTCTAACTCAGGGTCTAACTCATGGTCTAACTCATGGTCTAACTCATGGTCTAACTCATGGTCTAACTCATGGTCTAACTCATGGTATAACTCATGGTCTAACTCATGGTCTAACTCATGGTATAACTCAGGGTCTAACTCATGGTATAACTCATGGTCTAACTCAGGGTGTCTAACTCATGGTCTAACTCAGGGTCTAACTCATGGTCTAACTCATGGTCTAACTCATGGTCTAACTCATGGTCTAACTCATGGTCTCAGGGTCTAACTCAGGGTCTAACTCATGGTCTAACTCAGTATAACTCATGGTCTAACTCATGGTCTAACTCATGGTCTAACTCAGTATAACTCATGGTCTAACTCAGGGTCTAACTCATGGTCTAACTCATGGTCTAACTCATGGTCTAACTCAGTATAACTCATGGTCTAACTCATGGTCTAACTCATGGTCTAACTCATGGTCTAACTCATGGTCTCAGGGTCTAACTCATGGTCTCAGGGTCTAACTCATGGTATAACTCATGGTCTAACTCATGGTATAACTCATGGTCTAACTCATGGTCTAACTCATGGTATAACTCATGGTCTAACTCATGGTCTAACTCATGGTCTAACTCATGGTCTAACTCATGGTATAACTCATGGTCTAACTCATGGTCTAACTCATGGTATAACTCATGGTCTAACTCATGGTCTAACTCATGGTCTAACTCATGGTCTAACTCATGGTATAACTCATGGTCTAACTCATGGTATAACTCATGGTATAACTCATGGTCTAACTCATGGTCTCAGGGTCTAACTCATGGTATAACTCATGGTCTAACTCATGGTCTAACTCATGGTCTAACACATGGTCTCAGGGTCTAACTCATGGTATAACTCAGGGTCTAACTCATGGTATAACTCATGGTCTAACTCATGGTCTAACTCATGGTCTCAGGGTCTAACTCATGGTATAACTCAGGGTCTAACTCATGGTATAACTCATGGTCTAACTCATGGCCTAACTCATGGTATAACTCATGGTTTAACTCATGGTCTAACTCATGGTCTAACTCATGGTCTAACTCAGGGTCTAACTCATGGTCTAACTCATGGTCTAACTCATGGTCTAACTCATGGTCTAACTCATGGTCTAACTCATGGTCTAACTCAGGGTCTAACTCATGGTCTAACTCATGGCCTAACTCATGGTCTAACTCATGGTCTAACTCATGGTCTAACTCAGGGTCTAACTCATGGTCTAACTCATGGCCTAACTCATGGTCTAACTCAGGGTCTAACTCAGGGTCTAACTCATGGTCTAACTCATGGTCTAACTCAGGGTCTAACTCATGGTCTAACTCATGGTCTAACTCATGGTCTAACTCAGGGTCTAACTCATGGTCTAACTCATGGCCTAACTCATGGTCTAACTCATGGTCTAACTCATGGTCTAACTCAGGGTCTAACTCATGGTCTAACTCATGGTCTAACTCATGGTCTAACTCATGGTCTAACTCATGGTCTAACTCAGGGTCTAACTCATGGTCTAACTCATGGCCTAACTCATGGTCTAACTCATGGTCTAACTCATGGCCTAACTCATGGTCTAACTCATGGCCTAACTCATGGTCTAACTCATGGCCTAACTCATGGTATAACTCATGGTCTGCCACTCTAACTCATGGTCTAACTCATGGTCTAACTCATGGTCTAACTCATGGTATAACTCAGGGTCTAACTCAGGGTCTAACTAACCTTATTTTACAGAAAATAAAATGGCAACAACAGGGCTTGGGAGCAGTGGTCGTGTTAACCGAATACCCCCCGCCCCCCCATCAGCGCGAGTGAGTGACGAGTTGTGTACAGACTGACAAAAAGTAGAAAAGTAAATAATTTTCTTGACTAAAATGCTCAGACTAAAACTTGACTAAATAAAAACAGGATGAAGGTGACTAAATATGACTAAAACTAAAAAGGAAATGTAACACAGGACTAAGACTAAAACTAAATTAAAAAATAGCTGACGAAATTAACACTAGTACAGACTCACTGAAGACTCCCCCAAAATATTCTGTTGTTTTTTAAATCCAGTGTCACCGCAGTACGTCTAAATAAAGCCTGTGCCCTGCTGCACACTGATGGTGCCCTGCTGCACACTGATGGTGCCCTGCTGCACGCTGATGGTGCCCTGCTGCACGCTGATGGTGCCCTGCTGCACGCTGATGGTGCCCTGCTGCATGCTGGGAGGTCAATCATCTTCAATTCATTTCTGACCGTCGTAAATTATTATTTAGAATCTCTGAGATGAAGCCATGAATGGTACTTTTATAAAAAACGATATATTAACTCAGTAATTCAACCCTAATACGGCGTAGTTGTTGTTGTTTACCATGAGTTCAGGAGGGAAGATGACCTCCTGCGTGGGGTCAAAGGGCGCGAAGTCTTCAGCGTTAAATAGAGACGTCGCTTCCTGCAAGAAACACACGATGACAGTGAGAAACACACACACACACACACACACACACACACACACACACACACACACACACACACACACACACACACACACACACACACACACACACACACACACACACACACACACACACACACACACACACACACACACACACACACACACACACACACACAACTGTAATAGGTCGGTTTCTCACATGTTCGTCTTCCTCTTCGTTTTTCTGCGCTGCGTTCCCATTGGACATACAGCAGCCGTTGTCCCGCCCCTTTCCACCGCAGCACCCCCCCCTCCTGCAGGAGAAAATATGTGTTTATTAATATGTGTGTGTGTGTGTGGGTGTGTGTGTGTGTGTGTGTGTGTGTGTGTGTGTGTGTGTGTGTGTAAGTGTGTGTAAGTGTGTGTGTGTGTGTGTGTGTCTCTGTGTGTGTGTGTGTGTGTGTGTGTGTGTGTCTGTGTGTGTGTCTCTGTGTGTGCGTGTGCGTGTGCGTGTGCGTGTGTGTGTGTGTGTGTGTGTGTGTGTGTGTGTGTCTCACCACAGTGAAGGTCTTGAACCCCTCCAGGATTGGTCGGTATCCGGTGCAGCGACACAGGTTTCCTGAACATATTAAACGTTATTATCTGTTAAATGACATGTGACATGTGACATGTGACATGTGACAGGTTGGACTACAGATGTAGTCCAACCTGTCACATGTCACATGTATCATGTGACATGTGACATGTGACATGTGACATGTGACAGGTTGGACTACAGATGTAGTTCTTTACCCTGGAAGGCGTCCTCCAGGTCGGCCATGTTGGGCGAGGCGTTGTTTCTCAGCAGAGAATACATGGACATGACGATCCCTGGAGTGCAGAATCCACACTGAGAGCCATGAGACCTCGCGATACGCTCCTACAAATATAAAAACACAATTATACATATGTGCTGTATTCAGAGGTGAAGGAGTGGAGTATAAATACTGTTTTAGTTTTGAATCAAAAGCCTTGGAGGTATGATTTGTAGTTACTGATTAAACACAGAATGACACGATATCCAGAATGTGAGACGATCTAGTCTTATATTGCAATATCCATCAAATATAGTTATATATTCCCCCTGACACATGCACACGTCACTTTCTTCAGTTACTAAAGACACTAACTGACACGTGCACACGTCACTTTCTTCAGTTACTAAAGACACTAACTGACACGTGCACACGTCACTTTCTTCAGTTACTAAAGACACTAACTGACACGTGCACACGTCACTTTCTTCAGTTACTAAAGACACTAACTGACACGTGCACACGTCACTTTCTTCAGTTACTAAAGACACTAACTGACACATGCACACGTTACTTTCTTCAGTTACTGAAGACACTAACTGACACATGCACACGTCACTTTCTTCAGTTACTAAAGACACTAACTACTTCTACTTGAGTAAAGGATGTGTGTACTTCTGCCTGAGTAAAGGATGTGTGTACTTCTACTTGAGTAAAGGATGTGTGTACTTCTGCCTGAGTAAAGGATGTGTGTACTTCTACTTGAGTAAAGGATGTGTGTACTTCTGCTTGAGTAAAGGATGTGTGTACTTCTGCCTGAGTAAAGGATGTGTGTACTTCTACTTGAGTAAAGGATGTGTGTACTTCTACTTGAGTAAAGGATGTGTGTACTTCTGCTTGAGTAAAGGATGTGTGTACTTCTGCTTGAGTAAAGGATGTGTGTACTTCTACTTGAGTAAAGGATGTGTGTACTTCTGCTTGAGTAAAGGATGTGTGTACTTCTACTTGAGTAAAGGATGTGTGAACTTCTACTTGAGTACAGGATGTGTGTACTTCTGCTTGAGTAAAGGATGTGTGTACTTCTACTTGAGTAAAGGATCTGTGTACTTCTGCTTGAGTAAAGGATGTGTGTACTTCTGCTTGAGTAAAGGATGTGTGTACTTCTGCTTGAGTAAAGGATGTGTGTACTTCTGCCTGAGTAAAGGATCTGTGTACTTTTACTTGAGTAAAGGATGTGTGTACTTCTACTTGAGTAAAGGATCTGTGTACTTTTACTTGAGTAAAGGATGTGTGTACTTCTACTTGAGTAAAGGATGTCTGTACTTCTACTTGAGTAAAGGATCTGTGTACTTTTACTTGAGTAAAGGATGTGTGTACTTCTACCTGAGTAAAGGATGTGTGTACTTCTACCTGAGTAAAGGATGTGTGTACTTCTACTTGAGTAAAGGATGTGTGTACTTCTACTTGAGTAAAGGATGTGTGTACATTCTACCTGAGTAAAGGATGTGTGTACTTCTGCCTGAGTAAGGATGTGTGTACTTCTACTTGAGTAAAGGATGTGTTACTTCTACCTGAGTAAAGGATGTGTGTACTTCTGCCGTGAGGTAAAGGATGTGTGTACTTCTGCTTGAGTAAAGGAT